GCTCCGGCGAGGCATCCGCAAAGGAGGGAACATCATCATCATCCGAGTCATCGAAGCGGTTCTTCTTGCCGCCCTTCTTGCCGGCGGCCTTCTTGGCCTTGGCGGAGGTCGGCGGGGCCACCTCCACGGCGGCGGCGTCCGCGAACGAGGGCACGTCGTCGTCCGAGTCCGAGTCGTACCGGGAGGCCTTACGGCCACCGCGCTTCTTCATGGTGTGCAACTGCGAGGAGGAGCGAGAGGGGGCGTGTGTGTGAGAGAGAGAGAGAGACGAGGAGTCAGGATCAGAGAGGGAGGAAAGAGAGGGAGGGAGATCGGCGGGAAAGGGCACGCAATGACACAAGGGCATACATGGGTGGGGTGGGGCGGGAGTGAGGGAGGGGAGGAAGGGGGGTGGTGGGGTAGGGGGGAGAGAGAGAGAGAGAGAGAGGGAAGAGAGAGAGCAGCCGGGGGAGGGGGGTGCTCTTGCGGTGAAGTGTGCAGGTCGCACCAGGTCGTGAGGGGGGGATTGCGTCATGTGAAATAGCCCGTCCACCGGCCGGGGGGCGGAGGCGCCGGCGGTTCGGCCCCCGACCCCCCGCACAATCAGCGGTCGACCGCGTGCGGGAGCCCAAGGAGCCACACACGCGCGCGCTCGCGGGGCTCGCCTCTCCCGCCCCGAGCTGACTAGCACCCGCAGAGAGAAAGCGAGAAGCGCCTCCTGCACAGGGCGCGGGGCGAGAGAAGACCACCGCGAACGACAGACCAGCGCGCAGAGGATGCCCCCATTGCGCGCGCGACAGCGGCCACAGCAGCCACAGCGGCCCGGGTTAGGGACGCCCGCGGCGGGCTTCCCCACGCGGCTTGGCGCGCATGCCAACCCAGCCTCCCCCGGCCAGCCGGAGCCACCGCCAGGGGGGGGGGGGGGGGCAGACACACACACACGGCCACACATACGCACAGGCGTCTATGCCTGTGGTTGGTGCGCCCCGGGCGATGGCTAGACCCTGCTTCGGCGGCACTTGAGACCCCTCGCGTGCGGTGGGACCCGTGGAACGCCATTCCAGGTGCCGACGCAGAAGGCACCCCGGGCATGCCGCGTGCACGCCCCCGGATACACGCGCGCGCGCGCGCGCGCGCCAGGATGCCCTCCGTCCCTGCCCCATCGGCCTCGGGGGTGCGCGCAGCCCGATCGCGCGCGCGCGCGCGCGCACACGCCCGTTGGACGAAACAAGACCGCTGAGGCGGGGACGGCGGCGGGGACGGCGGCGGCGGGCCGTCGGATCGATCCAGCCGATCGGTCGAACATGGCATGCTCACACGGCCCACGGCGGGGGGGGCACAACCTGAGACCAGCCCACAACTCCCCGCAGGCGGGCGCGGCCCAGCTCCGAAGGTGCCTGTCCTGACTGGCGTCGGGGGGGATGTGGGGTGTGGCACCCCGGGCCGCCGGGCCGCGGGAGGGGCTCCCCACGCCCAAGCAGCGAGGAGCAAGCGGCAGCCGGACTCACACGGACCCCGAGCCAAGCCCATGGCCGGTCCCTCACGCGCCGTGACAATACCCGCCCCAGGAGGGGCCCTTCTTGTCCCGGACCACGAGATATCGAGGGAGACCCTTCTCTGTGGCCAGCGCCGTGGCCGTGGCTGCTGGCCGGCGGGCCGCTCGAGGGCGCACACACTCCGGCTTGCCAGCGGGTCACCGGCCGGCGCCATCGCAAGATGCCCGGGTGAGGGGGGGGGGGGGGACACACCGTCACGGGGCCACCTTCGGCGGTTCGCCAGACGACCTGGAAGATCTTGGCCGCCGGCCCAGCCAGGCACCCTGGGCCGGAGCCGGCGAGAGTGTCCGCCGGCGTGGAGACAAGCCCAATCCCGCTGGCGGGGGGGATGGGAATCCCGGCCAGGCTGGAGGTGGGAGCAGGCCCCCCGCACCTCCAAGGTGCTATGTGTGGCATGCCGCCCCGTCGCCTCCACCAGGGCAAATGCATCGCCATGGAGGCACTCTGCGGCCCTCGGGGCGACATCTCGTCCATTCGAGGACCAGCCTATGGCCGAGCAGAGGTTGCTTCAAGATGGACATCCGCTTGCCGAGGAGAGATGGGCACTGGCGGGTGCCTGTTGGACGGCGTGGTCGGCACAAGCTACCCCCCCCCCCCCCCCAGCCACTCTCGCAGGGCAAAGCTGGTGCCGGATGCGGAGCAGGACAGCCCAGGCCACAGAGGGCAAGCTTCCTTTCAAAAAGGAAAGGAAGAGAGTAGGAGCGTGTGTGTGTGTATGAGAGAGCGAGAGACACTTCGTGCTGCTGGGCCACGAATCGGCGGCGCGGACAGATCTCCCGCCAGACTTCCAGCACTCGGAAAAAATGCACCGCACCCGAGCGCCCGGACGCGGTGTGGCGACGCGCACGGCCAGTGGGACGGCCACGCCCCCTGCCCCTGGAGAAGGCCACTGCCGGGCCATTTCCGTCGGCCCATCTCTTTGGACGGCAAGCTTCCTTCTTTCGAGCTCTCGCACATGTGTATTATGGTGTTGGCCCCCGCGTGCACGGGATATACGCGGGAGGGAGAAGATCGGAAAAAAAAAAGAAAAAGAAAAAGGTCGGGCCCTCGTAAAAGGGGGCCCAAACGCCTGCGTGCTTCTCTGTGTCGTGCGCGCGGCTTTAGAAGCCCGCGGCCTGGAGAGCCTGGCGCAGGGCCGCGATCTTCTTGTGAACGTCGGCAATCTGCCCGGCCACCAGGTCCACGTCCAGAGTGAAGACCTTGACCTTCTTGTCGGTGGCGCGGCGATCGAAGGCCCGGATGGCCTGGAGCAGGGCCCCGGCATCCTTCAGCAGGTCGGCCTCGGTGGAGAAGCGCTCGTAGAGCTCCTTGTTCCGGCGCATGGTGGTCAGCAGGTCATCCACCTCGGCATGCTTGACATTGGCAATGGGCGACGGGGCGGCCGGGTCCTCGCGGTGGGAGACCACCAACGAAGAGAAGGCCGACAGCATCTGGGAGTACTCGCTGGCGGCGATGTCCTTGGGACTGGACTCCACCAGGGCGCCCTGGCGCCAGCGGAAGAGCCCGGCCGCCGCGGGGGACAGGTTGGCCAGGTCGTCGGGGCCGTCCTCGGCCCCGGCCGGCTTCTCCGGCAGCAGCGACAGGAGCTTGTTCTTGGAGGGATTCAGCGTGCCGCTGGTGATGGAAGTGCGAGCCTTGCGCACGGCATCCGCGCCGGCATTCACCTGGCGCAGGGTCTCATCCAGCGCCTCCATGTGGCTGAGGAGCCCGCCCTCCAGGGGGGCCGTGGCCTCCGGGCTGGCGGCCAACACCGCCGGGAAGAGCTGGCGGTCCAGCTGACGCACGCGCGCCAGCACCTCGGCCACCAGGTCCGCCGCATCGGCCGCCACCTCGTTGGGGATCCACACCGGGGCGATGATATCCACCAGGCCAGCGGGCAGGAAGCCGGCCATGAAGTCGGTGGCAAAGTTCTTGAGGTCACCCGGGTGGATCTGGGTGGGGAAGGGAGGGGGGATCCGGGAGATAGGTGTGAACGGCGAGAGGGAGGAAAGATGGGCAGGGGGGGCGGAGGGGGAGGAGGGGGCGGAGAGAGTAGAGAAGACAGAGAAGACAGGAAAGGCAAAAAAACAGAGAAGACAGAAAAGGCAAAAAAACAGAGAAGACAGAAAAGGCAAAAAAAAAACAGAGAAGACAGAAAAGGCAAAAAAAAAACAGAGAAGACAGGAAAGGCAAAAAAACAGAAAAGCAGAGAAGACAGAAAAGCAGAGAAGACAGAAAAGCAGAAAAATAGAGAAGACGGAAAGGACGGAAGGAACAGAGCAAGGTCAGCAAGCGCGGCCCATGGCAACGGCACACACGCATCCGGGCAGAGAAGAGACACCCAGGCACAGCGCGCACCTTCTTGTCGGCGAAGTTGACGCCCACATCAGCCAGGGGGAAAAGCCCCGGGGCCGAGGCCTCCAGGCTGGCCCGCAGGGCGGCCGTCTGCTCCGGGAAGTGAGCCAGCACCGGGGCCACCACATGCTGCACAAAGGCCAGCAGGACATTGCGCGTGGTGTTGCCCTCCTCGCAGAAGATGGCACGCACGGCCTTCTGCGTGGCCGAGCGCCCGCCATCCAGGAAGGGAGTGGTCCGGGCCGCCGCGCCGAACAGCTGCCCCGAGGACAGGTCCGACACAAAGCGCGAGGTCAGGTGCGCGCTCGGGATGGCCAGCGTCCCGGTCGACGAGCCGGCCAGGTTCGACAGCTGGGTCACCTTGTAGTCGGACAGATGCCGGCGGCCGAACTGGAAGATGGAGATCTGCTCCAGCCCGCCCACCTGCACATCGGCCCCGAGGAAGAGCCCGTTCAGCCCGCGGAAGAGGGGGCTCAGATCGCGCGACAAGACCGACGCCGCGGCCGGATCGAACCCCAGGCTCATGGACATGGCCTCGCGCTCGGTCACCATGTTGGTCAGCCGGTAGAAGTCCATCATGTAGGAGGGGTTCTCCAGGAGCTCCTGCCCGTGGTGGAAGCGCACAGCCGCGGCGTCCAGGCCGAGGTGCCCCAGCAGGGTGGAGATGATGGACTGCGGCAGGGGGCGAGGGACGCGAAGGGGGGGGGGGGGGGGAGGTGCCGTCGCCAAGGTCAGGGCACAGCCACCGGGCAGGGGGAGAACGGGCAAGCGAGGAGCCGGGGAAAAGGCGCCCACAGCCGAGCAGGGCAACAGGCAGAAGGCAGGGGGGAGGAGACACGCACCTGGTAGGCCAGCGACCGCGCGCGGATCTTGTCCAGGGACGCAGGGTTGTTCATGAAGGCGTGGAGCTCATCCAGGTGGACGATCACCTGCGCGCCGGCCTTCAGCAGCAGGGCCATCGTCACCACCGGGAACAGCAGGTCCATGCTGGGCTTCGGCAGGGGCGACAGGGAGAAGAGGACCTTCAGCTCGGTGACGGGCTTCTTGGGCAGGGTGCCCAGGAGCTTGTAGTCGCAGTTGAGCCACGACCTGAGCGCGCGCGCGTGTGTGTGTGTGGGGGGGG